CAGTTTTATAATTTCATTTATGCCTTTTTTTTTAAAGATTTTTAGAAATGTGTGTACAAATGTGATCTACGCTCATAATACTGTAAACAGGTCATTTTGACCATGAAACAAAGCATATGGTCTTATATTTTTAATATGTTCATAAACATCTCCTGCTGAACATACTTTTGAATTATCAGAGCTCCAGATAATTTTTTATGCAATGAGTTTTAAACTTCTTGATTTTTTCAACAATTAGTTTTCACACAAACCCCGGTTTTCCCAAATTCAAAAAAGTTTTTCCCAATATTTTAAGGAAATTTTTTTTGTTTTTTTTGGGTTCGAAGGGTTTTTTTTTAAAATGGATATACTTTGTATTTTATGAAGCCTCAGCTGTATGAGCCCCTAAAACCATTAGCAATAAAAGGCTAAGGGTTTAATGTTTGGGCCCACTAGGTTTCACGTTTTTTATTTAGACTAAAAAATGATAAAATTTGCCATTTACCAGACTAAATTCCATGCAGGGTTTTCCCCATACAATTTATCCGATTTTAAGTTGTCTGTCTTTTTTTCGCTCTTTCCCCGACGTAAATTTTTTATAAGGGAGGTCATTTTGACCCACATGACAGACTTTTCTTTATGCGGTGTTGTGATAAGTTATTGCTCTGACAAAATATGTCACAATAAATATTACGATCGGAAAATCCGATTTTGAAACGATTACAATTGTTATTCATTTCGTTTTAAACAACAATTATTTGTGACCAATGACCATGAAAAATATTTCTTTGTTTGCTTGTACACATCACACCTACTCCAGTGTTGCATCTAGGCCGCGCGATTGCGTGATTTGCGCATTTTTTATGCAGATCGCGCATTTAAATGAAGTCAGTGCGCGCCAAGTCGCGCATCTGACAATATTTTCAATTTAATTCAGTGTATCTTTATCGTATCTTAAATGCGTCAGCCATGTTTGTTTTCACTCATGGTTATGACTAATATACGTACTAAATCGCATGTAGCACTAGCAGCCGACTAAGTCATCTCGCGTGTGTTTTTTAGTATTCGTCAATATTTTATTTTTTCTACTTCCGTTTAAGAGCGGACGATAGCTGTCAAAAATGCCTGAATGTTAAATAAATGAATTCTATACGGTATGTCATATTGTAAGGTAAATGTATGTCCCCCACATTTTTTTCAAATCCCCCACATTTTTCAATTGAGTGGGGGACAATCCCCCATAATTTTGAAATTCTAGATGCAACACTGCTACTCGCTGATTACACAGGTGAGAATGCCCGTAGGGACGATTGTTTGTCGATTGTTTGTCGCGGTCGTTTAATAGATACTTTAACACTTAATTTTGTACATTTGGGCCGACATTTAGTGGCCGCTGGCCTTGATATAAAATCGTCGTTTAATGGAAATAAATTATATGGTAAAAGTCATCGGGAGGGATTTTATGCGGCCGCTTAATAAAAAAGTCGCTTAATGAAGGTGGACGCAAGTACGATGCCGACTGTACTTCATTTCAGTGTTGTACATTTTGTGGTCCTTGGAGAACACTGATGCCATCACTAATAAGTATTGAGAATTAAATACCGCTCAAGCAGGTGCTAGGGGGCGTGAGGGATGTTGCACTTATTCATTATTCTTCATGTACAGACTCAATCAAATAGAGTCTGCAATTTTCATTTAATTTTTTTTTGTGATTAATGCTTCCAAAGATATCACTTTGTTTCAGATAAGTAACAAGAATGTCTAGATAGCAATAAAGGTCAAGTACTTATTTACCATGGACATGGTACAGAAAACTTACACAAGAATCTGACAAGACGAAGAATCTATTTATCAAGGTAAATAAAAGTATCTACAACGTTTTATCCTGTGGTCATATTTAATTATATTAATGACAATACGAAAGCATTTTTAGAGACTTTAAGTTTTATTGCCATCAAAAAAAATTATTTTCAGGGGGGTCGCTTATGAATGACTTCATATGTAGGCCATATTCTAAGTGGGGTAAATAGGGGTAAACTCTTCCCCCTCTTTTTCTTGAATTGCTTGTTTTCCAGCATCTCTCCATACAGACGGCAAAGGCCGATACTTTCGGTTCTTAAATGTTAAAGGTTAAATAGATAACTTGTTTTTTTCTTTAAAACATTTTGTGTAACTTCATTTTGTTTACTTCATAGTTTTCCAATAAAATGCCATTTTTTTGCAGAGCATTATTTGTGTGGTCTTTCTGTTTGTTAGTCTACATTTGTTTTATTTTGTCACAAACATTGACCTTTAATATTTTTTTACATTTACAAATTCCTTCCATCCAGAGCTTCCAAACATCAAAGGTACATTCACCTTACACACCTTGATGTGCTCTTCTTGAAGTTCTGGTCAGATTCCTTATGGAGTTCATGGTGTCAAAGTTTTATATCATTAAGGCACAGAAACACCAAATAAAATAACCTTGGTAATAACGTATTAATGCTTGAATCAAAAGCCTCCGATTTTCACTGCATTTACTGTCATTCCACAAATACTGAAGGGCACAATACATTTGATAATGATAATTACTGTAACATACTTTTGCTGCAGTGTCAGGATAGCTATTTCGAAAATATCCCACATCATCAGTGCCAAGAATTACTAAGCATTAATTTATAAGCTGAACTTTTTTTTTAAATTATGTATAGTACAACACTATGTTGGTTGTGTTGTTACTTGTTACATTTTGTGCTTTCAGAATGAAGATAACGGTTTGGTTTAATATTTCTTAAAAACAGGCTATGCCAGTATCAAATATATAATAACATGAAATTTGCCAGCTCTTAATTGAGAACAGTTGCTTATTCAAGTTTAATCATAATTACTAAACTAGCATTTAGGAAATGGTAACCTACTTAGATCTTGTATTGACTATCTGATAGAAATTAAATAATGGCGTCTTTCAACATCATTTGCTGTTCCCTGACCAATAGGGAAGCGACACTCTACATAAAATGTATTTATAAACTTTGAGCGATTTAGGAAATTAGTATAGGATATTCGAGTAATCAAATTTCACTTAGATTTAAGCCAATCAAAATTGGTCAGGAACCCCAGTCATGAAATGAGTATATCGTATCAACTGGTTATAATTACAAAATACAAAGAGAACATACAAAATTTATTTTAATCAAAATTTTTTGAAAATTAACCAAAATAATGTAACAAATTTGGGAAGAAAAAACACAATTATGGTAAAGACAGGATTTTTTTTTACGGGGACTGAGTAGACTACATAAATAACAAGAAAAATAGTACCCTCTTTTTTACAAAATAACAATTTAGGGTTTTTTTTTAAAAAATATTTTAACAAAAATTTATGTACTATTTCAAAGTAAAGCGGAAAAAATGCTTTTTAAATTTAAATACGAATACAGTCAAGATTGTCATATGTGACTTTCCAAGGGACCTTCAAAAAAAAGGGTCACATAGTCTCTTAACACAGTCTCAAAGACAATTAAAATGGCATCTATATACAATTGTGACTTAACATACATAACTGTGTGAAGGATTAATATTAGGGCTGGATCAATATACCGGTAAATCGGTATTTATCGATTTTCCGTTTTTCAATACGGTACGGTTATCGGGTTTTAGCTAAACCGATACAAAGGGAGACAACCTAATTAAAATGTGTAACTTATATACATGATGGCTTTACATTAAAACTATCGTCTTTAAAATGTCCGCACGAAGGTCAAAAGTGTGGAATTTTCTCTAAAGTAAATGTTAAGAAGGCAGGCCTCGACATTAGCGGTGGTCCGTTGGTCCGAGACCACCTGATTTTGGCAAGGACCACCTTCTTTTAAAAGACACTGGTCCGTCGGACCAGTTGAATTATCTTGGTGGTGCAAGGCTCATTTGGGAGTATGACGATTTGGTCAAAAACATGTTATAAACTTGGTGTTTAAAATCATTTGTCCGATAAACATGTACTAGTATACGGTTTATTAATCTCTCATCAGTTCAAGAAGTTCTTAAGTCATCAATAACTTTCATTTTAAGGCGCTAAAATTTTGTTTATGCAAGTTAAAAGAGGTAAGAATTTGTGATATTAATTTAGGTTGAAAATTCATTCCAATGATTCTATTGCTAGTAATTATGATATTGTATGGAACATTGGATGAACTTAAATTCAGATACTTGAATAATGGCAGCAAATGAACTGAAATGGAAAAAAAATTAACTTGTAATTCTTTGCTACTTATCTTTATTTTAACGATAAGAGATCCATTTCTTCCAAAGTTAAATTACTTCAAAAGGTTAAAAATAGTCAATGTCAAAAATAAATATCAACCAACAAGCAACAGGGAGGTAAAAATTCTGTATGATAAGCTTGGAGAAAAATAAGTTAAACTATAGTTATATTTAACGTTGGTATTATTTATGTTTTTATCCTTAGATATTGCCTTGTTTTTAAAGACAAGAATTAGATAATCAGATTCCAAATAGTTTTATTAAAAATGTTAATCTATAAAAGAAATTGATCATGATTATAAGAGTTAGAAGCACCATATGTATCAGCAATGATTATTTGAATAACAGTAAGAAAATAAGGCAGATATACAATAAATGGTTTCACTATTTCCTAACTTAAGTTGGGGGAGTAGTCGTTTCAATATAACAATAACATAAGTACAAACCCTATTATGTATTTTTGAATGAGATAAAGAAAACCAGATAACTTTACGATAGAATACCTACTGACTTGCTCTCCTACATTTCTAATTAGATGAAAAAATATATATCTAATTATATCTGTTTTCTTTACTGTAAAAGGAAATTATACATCTTTGTCATCAATTCAAAACATTTTTTTCTAAATCTGCAGTCAAAGAGTCAAAATTCAAAAACAATAAAACAATAATATGGTAATAATAATTGACCACCTGACTTCCGGAAGGACCACCTAAATTTTAAATCTAGTGGTCCGGCTTACCACTTGCTAAAAAAGTTAGTGTCGAGGCCTGGAAGGCCCTCAGCAATATTTGAAAGGCGGCATTGATTAGTTCAGGTGGAACAACAAATGTGTCAATACACAAAATGACGGATAAATCCGTGACAAAATTTATCCGGGCATTCAATCTCCTATTTCTAACACTGGTAAAAATACTTTCAGGTCGGCAGTAGTTTGTATAAGACCAAACATTTACTTGTAATTTAATCAAACACATATTGTAAACACATAAATCATACAAATTTATTGATTTTCCAAGATGTAGTTTGCTAACTAAATAAATGTGACTGTGCGAAGACGTAGCTAAACACCGTTTCCCGGTACGTTACGGATTACGACACCACAACATCATTACATGATATTTATATTTTTATTGTAATTTTACCGTTTAAGATAGAAAAAACAGGATTTGTTAGAAAATTTTCAATGTTCCAATACTTTCTCAGTGTATATATTTCAAATTCTACAAAAATTTGATTTTATTAAAAAGATCTTATAATTTAGAACAGTTGACTTGTAGACAGTACTACGCTCCTGTCATAATAAATAGTGATGTTTTAATTATTTTCTGCGTTAACTTTTCCTAGTATTTACATAATTATATTTTTGCATTAAATTATTTCTCTACAAAGCTTTTTATTTTTTTTTCAAAATAATTGTTTTATCTAAAAAAGGCACAGACACTTGGAGTATGGACCCTGCCCTTCTCCGCCCCTGAATATTAAAAACTAAAAGTATTGTTTATCACAAGAATAAGTTTTAAATTTGTGCTTATATTAGTATGAGACGGTTAAGTGTCTAACACATGAACAAGTTTGAATAGAATTTCATAACGTTTTAAAAAAGTCAATTTTTTTCCAACGCTTCAATTTCCTGAAGATACCAAGCTTCGAAATGTAAACACAACTGACCTACATATATTTCAGGTATTTATGTTATCGCATGCCATTTATTTCTGGTGTAAATCAGTCGATGCATATATTCCTTTAATAAATAACTGCATGTTATTATCAGATCGTACCTTTCTTCCAAGCTTTGCACATTTAATTATATTTTCATAACTGAGTCACATGCTTCTTTACGAATTCATGACCACTGGAATGTTTTTCTGTAAATTACAGCGGGAAAATCGCTGGGAAAAAGAAATTCAGTCGCAACTACTCGGCCCTTTCCGTCAGTCTTCTTGATTTGGTTTCTGTACTGATTAGGGGAAGTAACCGCTGCGGGGTTTTGGTTCTCGGCATGAAAATGAAAGCGCAAAACAGTGCCGAAACTCATTCCAGTCATCTCACATCAAAGGAAAGCGTACGTTGTTATCTTCATGAAATTATGATATTCTAGGGACTTTTTTAAACGTGGTTAAAATAGCGGAAAACATGTTTTATGTTCAAGACATGTGACCAGGTCGTAATAATATGCAAAAATATTTTGACGTACGGTTTGCAAGATAAAAATAGGCATGGTGTATACAAGTGCGGATCAAGAAGGGGAGCCACGCACATAACCCCAAGCGTCTGTGAAAAAAGGTGCCATCATGTCATATTCAAAATATTATCTCAAATGTACTAATTAAGGTACCTATGCACCTGCTCTGTATTATATATCATCATTAACAAAGTCAAAATCTAAAACAGATATAAGAAAGATTCAATAATATTTCACCAGGGCATCTATGAAATGTAAATAGTACTTTTAATAAGTACATCCTAACAATGAAGCATCATTGTACTGTATCGTCAATACGTTTTGTGTATCGTTGGTCTGTATCGCAATACGTATCGTATCGGAAATTTCTGATCAATACCCAGCCCTAATTAATATGTAATCAATTGCCAATGAACATAGATATGGATATTATTATATACTAACCTATAACAAGGCAGCTTCAACAAATATTGTAGGAAAGTGTAAGGAATACAGATATTTGTAAAAATGATTGAATAGATGATGATAAATGAACAATTACTGATTACTTCATGTGAAGATAATTAATGAATACTACAAAATGTTGGGAATCAAAATGAAGTTATTATCTTACTTTGAAAATATCAACACTCTGACATGAAAACCAGGCTATATGACAAGTTGCTTGATCTCTTTCACATATGGAATTATGGATGACATATACATCAGTGTTGCATCTAGAATTTCAAAATTATGGGGGATTGTCCCCCACTCAATTGAAAAATGTGGGGGATTTGAAAAAGATGTGGGGGACATACATTGACCTTACAATATGACATACCGAATAGAGTTCATTTATTTTACATTCAGGCATTTTTGACAGCTATCGTCCGCTCAAAAACGGAAGTAAAAAAATAAAATATTGACGAATACTACAAAACACACGCGAGATGACTTAGTCGGCTGCTACATGCGATTTAGTACGTATTTTAGTCATAACCACGAGTGAAAACAAACATGGCTGAAGCGTTAAAGATACGATGAAGATAAACTGAATTAAGTTGAAAAGATTGTCAGATGCGCGACTTGGCGCGCACTGACTTCAATAAAATGCGCGATCTGCATAAAAAATGCGCAAATCGCGCGGCCTAGATGCAACACTGATACATATGTATTAAAAAGTGTTTCTTATGACAAGAAATTTGCTATTTGAAAAATATAAGATGATGTTGAGCATGAATGTTGCTGTCATAATCTAGCTTGTAAATACCACTCATTTCTGTTACTGTCTTGCTTTTTCCAAAGTTTTGTCATACCTTTTATGTCCTTGCATTTATCAGTACAGATCAGAGCGCGTTGATATGAATCTTTGCAGCATTGTCTCTCCCTCTTACATTAAGTGACTTGAAATAACACTGTAAAGCGTCTCCAGCTCTACCTTCTTGTTCCATGCATTTTCCGAGAAGATTTAGAGCTGTTTCCCGATGTCCAAGGTTTAGTTCCTCTTTTATGGTTCTGATTAGTTTGAAGAGAGCAGCTTGTTTCTGGTCACGTCTTCCTAAATGGCTGTAAACTTTGTATTGTAGAAAGTAGAGGTAAGGGAGGGAATCCACTACAGCACAATCCATCCACATGTTGTCTTCTTTTGTACGGAATATTCTGTCCTCTTGTGTAGATCTAAACATTTCATATCTGAGTTCAGTTGGTACACAGTGAATTTCACATGGCAGAAATCTAACACATGATGCTGTTGTATACTTTAAGATTTCTTCATTATGATTGTCACATAATTCAAGGAATCCTTGTCTTTGCAGTTCTTTTTTGATTTCAACATGACATTTACAGATAGGCTCAACTATTTGTAGATCATATCTTTTTTCAATCTCACTGAGTACTAGGTCAACTTTTTGTATTTCTTGAACACAGAATAAGATTGAAGCTAGTTTCAGTTTACTTGATGCAACATCTGTATTGAGACCAAGTGCAATGAGTTTGAGGGCATCTGCTGATACAGTGTTGTAATGATAGATGTTAAGTGTAGCCATGAAAGATCCAAGTATTGTACAGTACCATGGTAACATAAGATGACTGGCTGTCTTATCTAATCCTTCATATTGACTGTTGAATGTTTTTGATATAAAGTTCTTTAATATTTCTACAGCTTCATTAGGACTTCTCTTCTTAAGATGATGATAAGTTTTGTTCAGTGTCCCAGATATAGAAAAAGCCAGATTATATAATAGTTTTCCTGAAATGATATCACCTTTCTTGATTGCAGATAACTTGAGAAGAAGCCTTGAACCAAGATCATCACATTTAATCCCAAGTAGTGCCAGACCTTCACTGTTGATGATAATGTTGAGTTTTTCCAGGATATATGGTTTAACTGCAGGTGAAATCTTCCCCCTCATTAAATTGTTACCAGGAATAATAAAATGTGGACAATTTTCATAAATGATATTGGTGTACAGGAGATATAAACACAGTGATAGACATAAAAGTAAGTTATTTTCTCTCCAGATGTTAGAATGTGTATTGGCAATACAGTGGAAGAGTACGGTTTTACACATAAAACTTGTAATAACATCATTAAACAATGGATTAATAAATCTTTTTAAAATCTTCATTAAGACATAACAGCGAATCTGTGTAATATTCAGGTTGAACATTAAGCACCTTTCTGCTAAAGATGTTGATATTCTCCATTCAAGTTGCTCATGTTCACTGCCACTACATCCAACAGTAACAACAAAGCAACCAGTTCTGCTGCAATACTGTTTCATTTCAGCAGACGGCCATTGACCTTCACCTTGTTGAATTAACCATTGTCTAGCTTGTTGGGGCCATGTTGTACAATGTAGAGCCATGACAGTATCTTTATCACAGTAGCCTGGTTGTCCTTGTCGTGCATATGCTGGTCCATGTAATTCTACTTCGTCTCTATTTACACTAGATACATGTACTATAGAATTCTTTACAAACACTCTTCCTGTTCTGTCCTTGAAGAAGAATTGATCAGATTCACCATCAGCAGGAAGAGGAGCATCAGATCTCAGACTTTGAAGTAAACAATGTCCAGGAGATACAGAATTATCTTGAATCATCAAAAAATTATATAAGCCAGATATCCAGTCACTCCAGTCTTGTATCACAGGGTATTCTTTATCACGAATAAGTTGATCTATGTCTGATTGGATTCCTATTGTAGTTGTACCTTCTGATTGACTCCCAAAAAGGTATATGAAAAAATTTTCATCAAGTAGCTGGTGATATATATTTTCTATTGATTCCATCAGAAGCAATGTTCTTCTCCTCTTCATCACTATTCTCTCATCAACACCTATATCAGCCAGAACCTCTGATAGCTTCATTGATACAGTCTCTGTGTAATTTGGTACTTGATACATTCTGAAAATAACATTAATGTTCTAAAATAGTATAAGGTTTCTGACATATGTCATCTCTTTTTACTGATAAACTTTTTTCTTTTTGAGATCACCACAATCAGATTATTATTGTTCATTGTTAAATTATCCTTTAGATAAAATTGTTTTAAAACAAGTTGTTATAATCAGCTTCATCATAATTATTTTTTTTTTATTTTAAAAGAAATATGTTAATGTTTTAGATGATTTCCATTTTGTGAAAATTGATTTTTACAGTTAATTTTTAGCTCACCTGTCACAAAGTGACATGGTGAGCTTTTGTGATCGCTTTATTGTCTAGTGGCTTTCTTTGTAAACTTTTACTTTAAACAACATCTCCTCATTAAACCGCTAAGCCAATTTCATCCAAACTTCACAGGAATGTTCCTTTGGTAGTCAACTTTAAAAATTGTTTAAATAATTTCATTTTAATTCAAAGCAGAACTCTGGTTGCCATGGCAACCGAAAGAAAAAACTTAAAATATCTTCTTTTAGAAAACCAAAAGAGCTAGAGCTTAAAAATTGGCCCCTAAAAATTGGGGGGGGGGAGGGTCATTGTTTTTCCCTTTATGTATATAGTTATAACTTAAACAATCTTATTTTTAAAAACCCCAAAGAGCAAGAGCTAAAATATTTAGCATGAAACATCTTACCAAGTTTGTTCAAATAAGGGCCCTTGGGTTAAAATGGCCCAGCCCCAGGGGTCATTTGATTTTCCTTATATGTGTGAAGTAAATACTTAAAAAATCTTCTTATAAAAAAACCACCAAAGAGCAAGAGTTTAGATACTAAGCATGAAATATCTTCTAGTGAGTGTGTACCAATTTTGTTCAAATAAAAGCCCCTGGTTGAAATTAAGCCTTGGCCAAGGGGCCTATATACAGGTGAGCGATTTTAGGGCCATCATGGTCCTCTTGTTTTATACCCAATGAAACAAAATTTTTAATAATATAGATTTATCAGACCTTTCACTTCTTTTTAAAAAAAATTCTAATCAACATTAGTCAGTAATATAATAGAGTTATCATTAAATTGTTACCTTTTGGTTTATATCTGCAGCAGATTTAAGATAATGAGATCACTAGATGTTCAATATTTATAAAGCAAAACAAAATACTTCAGAAATTTCCCAGTTGCTGACGACAATTAGAGTATTGGGTTTTCTGGATTTATTTTTAACTTCCTCTTTCTCTTTCAATCTTAAGAAGATAACTCTGTTGGGCAGTTATATTATATCTGACATTTGTTGTCTCCCTTTGTGGACAAGGAATTTAGAGAAGACAAGATAAAGATCAACTGTACTAGATTCATGCTTCATGTGTACTGGGACTCCAATAAGATATTTTGTCATGCCAGGACTGGAAATGATTTTTGTGCCAAATATCAGATCATTGGTTCAGTGTGTTTTTCCAGAATTCCAGAAAAGTTATTCTTTTTGTGAAAAATGACCCAAAATTGTTACTTTTTACAAAACTTTTAATTCAAATCGAGCACTTAAATATGATTTCTCTGTTTAATAATGATATTGTAGAATTCTTTAAGAATAATTTTCTTGTTTTGTCTTTGAAAAAGTATTAACTATACCAGTCAGAACCTCTGATAGCTTATTTGACACAGTCTGGTTGTAATTTGGTACCTGATCCATTATGAAAATATTGTTTTGTTCTAAAGTAGTATAAAGTTTCTGACATATTAAATTTCTTTACTTCTTTTCTGATTTTCTTATCTAAGATCATAGTCAAACTATTATTGTTGTTTATTTTTAAATTGTGAAATTATCCTTTATAGAAAATTGTTTTGAAATAAGTTTTTATCACTATTTTGATCATAATCAATATTTGTTATTTTAAAAGAAGTGTATTATCAAATGTTTTAAATGACTTTTGTGAAAATTAATTTATACTATTCAATTTTTATATATGCTATGAATCGAAAATTTCAATCAAATACAAAACTTTGACCTCTTTTTGAAATAAATTTTAATCAACACTAGTCAGTAATATATAATAGAGTAATCATTAAAGTTTTACCTTTTTGTGTATATCTGCTTTTTATTTAAGATCATGAGGTCACTAGATTTTCAATATTAGAAAAGCAAAACAAAACACTTCAGAAATTTCCCAGTTGCTAACAACAATTTGCTGGATTTATTTTTAACTCTTAAGAAGATAACTATCTTGTCTGACTTTGTTGTCTCCCTTTGTTGAAGAAAATTGATTGACAAGATTTTTGGACAAGATAAAATAAAGATACTGTACTTGATTCATGCTTCATGTATGTTAAAAGGACTCCACTGAGGTTTTTTTTTGTCAGGCTGGGACTGGAATATTTTTTTCAAGATTAATGTTTCATTTAATGAAGGTCTAGAACAATAAATTTTGTGCCAAATATTAGATCATTGGTTCAGTGTGTTTTTTTTCCAGAATTTCAGAAAAGTTATTCTTATTGAGAAAAATGGCCCAAAATGTTTGCTCTTTACTTTGCTTTTAATTCAAATCATGTACTTTAATATGATTTCTCTGTTTAATAAAGATATTGTAGAATTCTTTAAGAATTATTTTCCTCTTCTGTCTTTGAAAAAGTATTAACTATACCAGTCAGAACCTCTGATAGCTTATTTGACACAGTCTGGTTGTAATTTGGTACCCGATTCATTCTGAAAATATTATTATTGTTCTTAAATAGTAAAAAGTTTCTAATATATTAGTCTAGTACTGGTGAACGATGGTTAGGAAACTACCCGCCTATATGACTGAAATACTGTTGGGAAAAGGCGTAAAATTAAACAAACAAACAAATCTAACATATCAAATTTCTTCACCACAATCAGAATATTATTGTTCTTTATTGTTAAATTGTGAAATTTTCATTTATAGAAAATTGTTTTGAAATAAGTTTTTATTACCATTTTGATCATAACCAATATTTGTTATTTTAAAAGAAGTGTATTATTTAATGTTTTTAATGACTTTTGTAGTGTGAAAATTAATTTATACTGTTTTTTTTTTTATATATGCTATGATTCGATAATTTCAATCAAATACAAAACTTTGACCTGTTTTTGAAATACATTTTAATCAACACTAGTCAGTAATATAATAGAGTAATAATTAAATTTTTACCTTTTTGTTTATATCTGCTTCAAATTTAAGATCATAATGTCACTAGATTTTCAATATTTAAAAGCGAAACAAAATAATTCACGAATTTCCCAGTTGCAAATAAAGTATCCGGTTTGCTGGAATTATTTTTAACTCTTAAGAAGATAACTCTCTTGAGCAGATATTTCATATTCTGACTTTGTTGTCTCCCTTTGTTGACAAGCTTTTTGGACAAGATAAAATAAAGATACTGTACTAGATTCATGCTTCATGTATGTTAAAGGGACTCCACTGAGGTATTTTGTCAGTCTGGGACTGGAATATATTTTAAAGATTAATGTTTCATTTAATGAAGGTCTAGACCAATAACGTGTGTGCCAAATTTCAGATAATTCGCTCGGTCAGTTTTTCCAATTTAACTATTCTTATTGTAATAAATGACTGAATTGAAATGTGTTACAAAAACTTTTACTCAGATAAAGCTAAGAATAGCACCAAATAAAAAAATAAAATAATAAGATTTTCAATTTATATTGAGTATATTCCTTAATCATCTTTAGCATATCTGCCTTTTTTGTGGCTCAGCTGTGACCTATGTAAGAAATTTAAATTTTATGTTTTTAGATTTTTTAGACCTCAGTGAAGTTCCTTTAATGCAAAAGCGTCATAGCAATTTGAAGTATTCAGCTATAGTTACTTTGTATGACAATTTCTGTTTATTCATGGCAAAGCTTACTCATCTTTAAAAGAATTTAATTTACATAAAAATCAACAATTTCAACAAGCTACAATTATAATCAAAGCACTTATAAGATATAATATACTTCATTTAAATAAAACAATTATATTAATTAAAGAATTAATCCTTTTTCACCCTGATCTTGATTAAACTTAAGTCAGACAGGGCAGCTTATTGTCTTGACAGTGTTGTTCAGGTACTCTTGCCCTTTCCTATAAAACATTACACTTGGTTACAGATTATGAGGGAATGTGTCGCTCTCTGACAGAGAAAGAAAGGCAGATAACAGAGCTTAGGGAGAGAACTGTGAGAAAATAGAACATCTGAAAAGAGAACATGCTCAGGAAAAGTCACGACAGGAACAAGATAACACCACGGCTTTACAAGAGAATCTATCTCTCATACCAACAAATCAACGGTTAAAGCCAAGTCGGAACAAGTAGAAATGTTACAGGTATAGCTTGCAAAATGTCATGGTTCAGAACTGTATATTATTTAGTGGAGAAGATGTTTAAGCCCGGTCTGACTGCACATCTTCTCCCTTAATTAGGGAACAGTTCTAAACCATGATATACTCCCCCATAATATTGATATTCGTCCTCGTATTTCTCAGGGTTACAGAGTAATGTGAATTAAACTCTGAGCAATATGCAGTCACAGTGCCAAACACTGACCACCAATATCATATTAGTAGCTGTTTATGCCTGTTGAGGACATAAACACATGCCTTGATAATTCAAATAGATGAAGATATCTGGTGTTACCCAAAGAAATATATTTATCAAAGTGTGTGAGATTGTTTGTCCAGGAAGTTTGTAAAAACTGTCAGAGGTCCAGCATGCAAATGAGGTCTACAAATATCTGTAAATAGTTGATAGGATGTAAAGGTGATGAAATGGAAATAATATAGGGTGGTGGCTTGTATATTGGACTGTAAAGAAATAAACACATAAATAACTAAACAGTTACACAAGATATGAACAAATACAATGACAAAATGGTCCATAAAATGATATTCGTAATAAAACTAATATCAACAACATGACACATGCTTATTTTTGACAATCACAATTTATCTGTATGCCATCATTTACATAGAATACAAAAAGAATTTCATCCTCTAAATACTTTTGCTTTAACCCTTCTTATAAATATTTAACTTGACATTTACGTGTATAATTTTACATTTCAGAAAGAGATATGTAATTTAAAACAGATTATAGAAACACAGAAACAGAATCTTAATGGTAAAATCAAGAAGTCAGCTCTAGAATATAAACAACAAATGTAAGTACCAAATGTTGGAAGTAGCCTAATGGTTAAGTAGAGGATTGGAGCCTAAACGTTAAAACCATGTTTCCTTTGTTTCCTTTTATGACATCAGTACTGGCTAGTTTAAGTCAATTCAAAGTTTTAGAGATTTCTATATTAGAATTTAAAAAGGTATAGTTACAAACAGTAAAGGGTTTGGTCACAGTACATAGATGTCCATGCTGGCCTGGTTATATGTTGATAGCAAAGGCTGTTCACTTTCATTTACTCTAAATACCGGTATATTTATATACACCATGTATCTTATATATTACAGTGAAAACATTGAAGAAGAGAAGGATAAACTTCAGTTATTAAATCAACAATTATCTACAGATCTTGACTCATGCAGGGAACATATTGCCAGCAAAAATAAAGAAATCCTTAAGGTATACAATAACCAAAAGTAACTGATTTTAAAATGTGCTATCAATGCTGGCCTCCTGTCCTTTGGAAATATATCAGTTCTAATTATTAGTGAAGTAGATAATAATTTTTATCATTGTCAGATACAAATTTGATTTAGCCCCACCCAGCTTTAGTGCTTTGTATTACTTCCCTCAATGTTTGGTTTTCTGATTGTGCCAACAGTTGTTCAACTATTCACCACCTACGTCCCCCAAACAAATTATCATTGCAAAACCGGAGAGTCTGAATTTTGACTTAGGGATTATGACATTGTGTTTATGACCAGTTTGTGTTTTCTTGTTTGATACCAGTGACTTCAGTAGGTTATCTCAAGTGTGATTTATATAAGCTTCAAATTTTTTTTTCAATTGAAGTAAAATTATTATGTTTAAATTTATCGAATATGAGTTATTGCCTTTAGTTATGTTATTATCAATGTTATACTGTTTTGTAACTATAGCTACAAGAGGAGATATTGGTGCTAGAGGATAATGTTAGAGAATGTAAGGTTAAACAGAAACATGCCGAGGATATGTTAAAGATAGAAGCTGACAAACAAATGGAGCTACATGCTAGGTACATTGTATATTCATTTCTTTTCTGTTCCTCTTACAGCATTTCCAAATATATAAACATATCGTCAGACTTCATTGTCTGTTTGTTATGTTTGAAAGCTTAACATGTGAAATTCATGTATATTTTTCTGTTTAATTGTTAACAGGCATGAATGTATATTTTGTTTCAGATCTAAAAACACGTGTTCAAGTTTTTTGGTGTGTTTTATTTCTTTAATAATATTGACTTAATGGAGACGAAGGCCAAAATTTAATGAGAGCCAGCTTTTTAGTTGTTCACATTAATTTTAACAATTTATATCAAACTTGAAATATAATTTGCCTCCTGATGTTTCCTCATTTGTCATGTCACGTACGTTGATAGTTTTTTCCTGAAATTTAAATATACCTGTTTGATCTGTTAATTGTAAGATACTTTGTCAATAAAACTATATAACATAGCAAATATAATAAGTGCCATTATTTGTGAAGGTTCCATGTGTTTGGTATTGAAGCACATTTTGAAATTTTTTTGTTACATCAAATATATATGAGCCGTGTCATGACAAAACCAACATAATGGGTTTGCGACCAGCATGGATCTAGACCAGCCTGCTCGTCCGCGCAGTCTGATCAGGATCCATGCTGTTCGCTTACAGACTCTATAACAAGTAAAGAAACTGCTAGCGAACAGCATGGATCCTGATCAGACTGTGCGGATGCGCAGGCTGGTCTGGATCCATGCTGGTCGCAAACCCATTATGTTGGTTTTGTCATGACACGGCTCATATCTTGAAAGTCATGTTTTGTTATATATCTAGCTTGGAAATGGAAGAAAAATGGTAAGCAATTAGCAACTGGGGATATCTGCCACTGCATTTTCTTTTTATGCCCCCACAATGTGGGAGCATATAGCGTTGCACTTGTCCGTCCGTCAGTCCGTCCGTCCGTACGTCCCGAAATCTTGTGAACGCAACTCCTCTTAAACCGGATGGCAGATTTTGCTTAAACTTACAGGGATGAACAACCTTAATGTGTAGATGGTAGTAAAGGAAGGAATTTTCGCTGCGACCAAATTTAACAGAATTATGGCCCTTTGTTGATTTTTTCACTAGATACTATGTAGAAATTTTGTGAACGCAACTCCTCTTAAACCAGATGGCAGATTTTGCTTAAACTTACAGGGATGAACAACCTTAATGTGTAGATGGCAGTAAAGGAAGGAATTTTTGCTGCGACCAAATTTAACAGAATTATGGCCCTTTGTTGATTTTTTCACTATATACTATGTAGAAATTTTGTGAACGCAACTCCTCTTAAACCGGATGGCAGATTTTGCCTAAACTTACAGGGATGAACAACCTTAAGGTGTAGATGGTAGTAAAGGAAGGAATTTTCGCTGCGACCAAATTTTACAGAATTATGGCCCTTTGTTGATTTTTTCACTATATACTATGTAGAAATTTTGTGAATGCAACTCTTCTTAAACCAGATGGCAGATTTTGCTTAAACTTCCAGGGATGAACAACCTTAATGTGTAGGTGGTAGTAAAGGAAGGAATTTTTGCTGCGACCAAATTTAACAGAATTATGGCCCTTTGTTGATTTTTCACTATATACTATATAGAAATTTTGTGAACGCAACTCCTCTTAAACCGGATGGCAGATTTTGCTTAAACTTCCAGGGATGAAGAACCTTAAGGTGTAGATGGTAGTAAAGGAAGGAATTTTTGCTGCGACCAAATTTAACAGAATTATGGCCCTTTGTTGATTTTTTCATTATATACTATGTAGAAATTTTGTGAACGCAACTCCTCTTAAACCGGATGGCAGATTTTGCTTAAACTTACAGGGATTAACAACCTTAATGTGTAGATGGTAGTAAAGGAAGGAATTTTTGCTGCGACCAAATTTAACAGAATTATGGCCCTTTGTTGATTTTTAGTTTTCAGCTTGTGGCACATGTAGTCCAAAAAATATTTATCTAGAGTCATAAGATTGACAGAACAGTGGCGTGTGGGGGCATCCGTGTCCTATGGACACATTTCTAGTTTTATAAATAGAAGAACTTTTTAGCTTTTCCGAGAGTATGGGTGTAATCAAATACAGTTTTTAGAAGTAAGGTTTCTCATGATTTTGATTTAGTAAACAACAAATAATATTCCATGCTGACTGATAAATTGAATTGAATAATTATAATATAACCACAAAAAACTTGTTACTTTCTATTACAAAACTTGTTTAAATTTTAGGAGTAAAATTGGTATAAAAATCTTAGTTTTTAATGATATTTAGAAAAATCGACAAAAATTTAGCTGTTGTTTTACTACATATATAATACAGGCTTCAGCTTGAAGAGAAGTGGTGAAGATTTAGAAATGTGGTGCTCAAATATAAAACAGCACAAAGTTTTTTTTTACTGATTGAAGTCATACACATTAAACTAACTTGCACTTGTGTGGAACTTTCTTGTTTTTTGTTGACTCAATTTTTGGGTGTTCATATTTTTATAGAAAAAAAGGTCATTTTAGACAAAAATACACACCATTGCATTCATTATAAATATATATTATATTATATAGAGTGTGGCTAAGATTGAAGTGTTACCATTATTTTTTCTGTGTGTATATTATACATTTACAGGTATTTAAAAATTATGACAGAGAAAACTGATTTTGAAAGGATGGGTATAATTATGGGATCAAACCTGTACAAACTTTATAATTTATTCTGAACACAGTGTGCACTCCCATGTCCGGATCATTGTGCCTGAAATAATGTTCAATACATTGCAGCCCTTCCTTGACCAGTAAAGAATGAAAACCTTTATACAACTGTGATAGAGGAAGTGTAACCTGAAACATGAACCAAATATTTTACTTTTTTTTCAAAGGTTTTATAGCAATTTGTAAAGCTGTTCTGTAATTTTAGCTATTACAATAGTCATATTTTATGGGCTAGGGATTTAGTTACTATGGTTGATCTTACATTTATTTTCAATTTCTTATAATATCTAGCATCTTGTAATTAAAAAGTCTTAAAATAACAATTGACTATTTCAAAATTTAAAGGAGGACTTTAACAATATTTAAACATATTTTTGAAAACCAGTTTTCAGCCCTGCAAAAAATCAATAAAAAAGGACAAAATATAACCGTTAAGAAATTCATGAAATAAATAGAACATTTGTTTGTTTGGCATATCAAATAATATTTAGCTCACAAACACCAATATTAATATTTCATTTTTGGATATGCCACTTTATTAAATAATGCATCTGGTGTTCTAAACTTTGTTTTTCTTTATGCAAAACAAACAAAAATGTATATCTGTAGAATTTAATGTCATTTATTTTAATTATATACCTGTTAAAACATAATATTCAAAATATTTTTTCACATGAACAGGTTTGAAGCACAGGAGGAAGAATTGAAAAGATTACGTAATTTTCTAGCTAGGAAAGTAGAACAGTCAGGTGACTCGGATAAAACCATGTGGTAAGTTACCTTGTGATTTGTATTTTAGTATTATACATTCACTTACATGATCTTTTGTTTCTTAACGTGATTCAAAATAGGTACATACACAGTATAAAACAATTGCAATATATATTCCATGGTCAGATTGAAGGTTTTTATATACTGAAATTTCAGAAACATTTACTGTTAAATGTATAGGTTACCATTGTTATTGTTAGATGTATTTGGTAACCATTATTATTGTTAAATGTATGTGTAACCATTATTACAGGCAGGAGATGAATCGAGTAATTCAAGATCTGAGTCGTCAAATGACTACACATCTAGACTCAACAAGGGGTGGAGACAAAGAGAAGAGTCCCGAGTCCCTTGTATCTAGGTTACGAAAACAGGTAGCTGAAGTTCAGGGTGAACTAAGTACAGAGAAATCCCTACATCAGATCACTAAGACATCGTTAGTGGCGCTAGAAGAAGATTGTCAAAGGTTACGTAAACAGTTACATCATTATCGGAGACGTGATCCACCTTCCGGAGAAAAGTAAGTAAAATATCTTGTCTATGTAATGTTAATGGAAATCTACTTAAATACGAGGCTTTAAAATGTTTTACTATATAAATCTTGTCTATGTAATATTAATTAAATCAACGTTAATATGAGGCTTTGAAAGGTTTGCTATATAAATTTAAAGAGGAAAATCTGTCACTGTCTTCAGATTTTGTTTTTACACTTCAGGAGACTTTCTCTTACTTATTTTTGTTTTTACTACTCTGGAGAAATCTCCACATAAATAAGAGGCTTTCTTGGCAGAGTGGTTTAAACATGTATATATTTTAAGGGCGGTTTGTCCTATTCTTCTTTAGGTTTAAATACCTTATGGAAGGTGTTGCTAGTTTTACACTTGAAATAGGGACTCAGCTCATCCATAAAGCTGGAAACTTACCATAATAATGTATGAGTGTCAGTTTGACCTTTAAATAAAAATATTATATGACATATTCATTTCTTGGTATGTTTATTAAGTTTAGAGAGTACACCAACTATGCCAGTTGTAAACAGGTAACAGAATAAAACACCTTGTTCTTAACATTTGTCTTATATTATATACCTGATGTAATAAACTAAAACATGACACAATAGTTAAAGCATGGTCCTGTTTTATCAAAAGTTGATATTTAACAACAAACAACTTATTAAAAACTGATATTAAAAGTTCATAATTTACATTAAAAAAAATGCCTATTTAATCACATTTATAGCACATTTAATTGTAATGTTAATATGGAAAGCTAGTATGTTATTCAGACAGTTTTTGATGTATTTAATTTCTAAAATTATTACCCTTTTGAGAGCAATTGATGGCACTAAGTTTTGTGTGGCCAGGAACATTTAGAAATTTCTAATTATCCATTATATACTGAACGCCACTTGTTTTCACTTTTAATGACATATTAATATTCACATGTTACATTGTTCATGTTATTTATTAAATGTAACTTAAACCCTAATCGTTATTATATAAAACTTAAAACTCACAATACTCACTTCGTAACAGATACTTTAACTTTGTATTATTATAAGAAATAAGTGAAAAATATATTTATCTTAAAAAAGATACTTATAATGTTCTCTTTTATGAATTTGTTTTTTAAAAATCAGTATATTTTTACGAAAATTACTTTGTTATGTAAAAATCACTTTGTTTCTTACGTTAATTATTTGTTAGTGAAAGTCAGTATATTTTATGAAAATAACTTTGTTATGTAAAAATCAGTATATTTTATTTAAATGACTTATTTATGTAAAAATCAGAATATTTATTTGAAATTTTCTTTAAGTTTATTATATCATAATTCTCAGCCATTATAGATTTGTGATGACTGTAACCCTGAAATTGTGTTACAAATTAATAAAGAATTCATTTTGAGTTAAAATATGTGTAACAGTTGCTTTGTTTTTCTTCTTCTTCTTTTTACAAGCTAGCCGAACCAACACATGTTTAGGTGAAGTTTTATATATATTCACTAGAAATTATAGAATAAATTAAAATTATAATTAATTCTAAAAAAACATCTTTTATTTTCCACAGAAAACACAAAAACAGAATGGAAGCAATCAATGCTATAATTGCCAGGTCACAGTCCCAGGCGCAAGCTCTTCTGTCTTCAGGCGGTTACTTTGATGACAGTATGGTCAGCCCTAGAGTCCGCACACACCAGGCCAGTACCAGAGTTGGATTTCACAGTCCACGTCATGCAGACTCCCCGGACAATTCCTACTGCGAAGATTTGTCCGTTGCTAGTTTACCACCAATGCATTATGGGCTTCCGTCCTCAAAATCATAGTATAGCTTGTGCATTTTGAACTGTATAGTAGCATATAGCTAGTACATACTGAATTGTACAGTAGAGTATAGCTAGTGCATACATGAACTGCACAGTATAGTATAGCTACTGTACAGTAATATGGTCATCAAGTTTAGTTAATGGATATTGAAATGTCTTGATTAATAAGTTATTTAGTTGGTGCATATAATACACAAGTATTACAGTTCAGTGTGTTTAATTAATTTTATGCAAGACAAATACTGTGTACATTACCATTGTAGTTTTTCACAATTCATACAGTATAGACTTATCTCTATGGAATATTGTAAAAGTATAGCCTATACATACTGAACTGTCATAAAACATTGTATTAAACCTTACTATGCATTATTTCTACAGCAGCTGATTACAAATTTGTATGATATTTTAAGAGAATATAACTGCCAGTATTTTATTTTGATATTGTCAGTCATATGATATTATATAGTTTAATAGAAGCTGTAACTAGAAAAACATACAGAATATATAAATGATTATATCTTTTTATACGTTTTATAAAAGTATTTACTGCAGAAATTAGTCACAAACATTCCGTCCTTGAAATTGCTTTACATTACTAAATTTTCATAATCATTAAATTATAATCAAAACCACAATACCAGGAGAAATTTATAGATTTAGTGATATATTGACTGTATTTTATGTTTGTTACCATGGCAATGTATTATTCCTATGTTATTTTAGTTGTAGTTGTCCGTCCATGATATTAACTTTTATCTACATAATCATACATGTCTATATTATTGTATTTATCACAAATCTTGTATGTAATGATGTTTGTTTTCATTGATGTGATATAGTTTATATTTCACACTTAGGCTACAAAATATTAAAATATTCTCAAATAAAAAAAGTTATAGGGCCAATAAAGGGAGATGTCATAGGAAAATGTGAAAACCAAACACATTTTCTATTCATGCTATTATTTGGGCAACAAGTGTTCAATACATGTAACCCTCCCTTTGATGCCAGATTGAAATAAACTTAAATATTATTATTGCAATGAGGTACCTATATGTTAGAGTTTACAAAATAAATCAATGTTTAGTTAAGTATTACTTTGAATAAAAAAAGGAATTTGAATTATAGATATTTATTAAGTTAGAAAACAGATGATTAATATAAAAATAAAAATATTAGTAAGAAAACAATACAGAATTTATCCATTAGCACTGCATAAATCACCTAAAAACAACAAGACTCCACTTTTATTTAAAGGAACATGCCTACTCTTATATTTTTATCATACTATATGATGTTATCTGCAATATTTGAATGTCTGAAGATTAAGAAACTAAAATATCTGGGCATTTTTTGCAATATATTGAAATAAAGCAGTAATAAATATGTGTTCATTACCATTCAAGTCATTCTTTTCATACATTACGACAGCAATCAGTCTCATTCTAGACTGGGTCTGTCACAAACTTTTTCATGATGATTTGGTTCTAAATGATTATGTTCTAAATGATAATGTATAATTTGTATAAGTTTTTCACTGTCTATACTCAAATACATGGATTTTCATGCTGTTGTTGTTGTGTTTTTGCTGTTGTTCTATCTTTTAGGGGGGGGGGGGGGGGGGGTGGAAAATTAAGCATTTACTTGCAGAAAAAAGACAATATGACAAAAATGTACGAGTATTGATTGATAAAGTTATAATAGTTAATGACTGATATAATATTTGTAATCTCACATAAAACCCAACAAACAAACAATGCTATATGTACATTAAAACCTATTTTATCTGTCCATATAAATCCAGCTGATTTAATGTATTATATGTTATGTATATTGTATGTTTAATTTCTACACGTTTCTGTGATACACGTTTTAAGCACACACCAAAAATGCATTTGGATTATTTTTAAAGATATGTTTTGAAACATATTTATCTTATTTTAATTGTATGATAGTGTGATATATTTCTTATCTGTGATTTTGAATCTGTTTTGAATTTTTATTTATAAACATCCAGATATTTATTGAAAAAAATTGTAGCCATAAACGAATATTACTGATTTTTGAAGATGAAAAATAGTTAAAGATCCTGTAACTCAATTTTTTATGGTTTTATAACATTTACATGATTCTCAAATGAAGATTCATCAATATAGTAAGTTCCTAAAAGCATTTTTTGTAAAGCTATTACCGAATTTACATTTCATGTAAGTAAAGGGAGCTGATTAGAAATTCATTTTCTGTAAAATCTTAGCCAAAATTCTCAGTAAGAAACGAATGCATATATTTCAATGATTATACATAATGCGAATAAACATTTGCAGTAAATATTTAACATATTCTTGGATGTTTGAAAATTGTTTTAGAAGCATAATTATATACATACTTAAAATTTCACTTAAATGTTGATACATCCTGAAATACTACATACAGGATTTTTAAAACATACTAACATCCTGTGAGGCAAATATATCTATCCGGGTTATTTTTTATCAATATTCAAGACTTGTTTTGTTAATTCCTACATTATCAGGTCCGTATTTCAAGCAGTGAGAAAAGTTGAGGACACTGTCTTTTTGACAGCTCTTGTTTAAAAAGCGTGTTAATATTGAAATACAACAAAAAATCGAGCAGGCAAAAATGTACTTATGACATTTATTAAATAAAAGTTTTAGTAGGATGTAAAAATGTTGTAATTTGAGAACAGAATGATGTTGAATAGATGTTTTCTTCTTTTTAATGTAGTATAATGTACATATATGTTATTGTTTTCAATGTATTTAAAAACTTAGTTCAATAGAGAAAGAGTTAAGTGAAGAGGTAACAGATAACGTGATTAGTGAAATCAAAATGATATTTTTTATCTCATGTGTAATTTTGCTCCCCAGCTAATACATGAAGTAACATATGAGGAAAACTCTTAAATATCAAAGAAAATAATACAGAATCCCAGTTATTTAGCAAGGTAATTAAACTTCCAGTCCTGTTTACATTGTACGAAATGGTAACTTTATTCACTCAAAACCATAAACCATGAAACTCTCGTAGTAAGATTAAGTAACTCAGAAATGAAATTATTCTTTCTTACAGATAATATAAACCAATACCTGTGCTATATAACATTATAAAAAATTTATATACAAATTACAGCATTAAACTGACTCGAATTCTTGCCAGTATGGTAGTTCTGTTAGTTGTTGTATGTATGTTGGTTGTCTATTTTTCACATGATAAATAAAGTAAAATTCTGAATTATTTCATTTTTCAAACGTATTTCCATATACATGTAGTATAACAAATGGATTTTATAATATTTGTACAAGTTTATATGTTGCTCTTTGTCTATTTTCACATTTAAAATTATAGCAAAATGCTGAATCATTCCATTTTCATTTATTGCAAAACTCTTTTCCATATAGTAGATATTAATTGTATTTTATGATATATGTACCAGTATTTAACTGTAATTCTATTATGCAAAGCTGAATAAAGCATTAACTGAAAGAAATCTGTGTTGATATATTGTGATGTGTCCCAAAAACTGAAGACAGAAGTCTATCTATTTGTCATATAGTGACATTCCAGCTTTACTGGCGGAGGAAGACCTCAGTCACCCTTCTGTGCATTATTTCAGGCACGAGCCACTAAAGATCTTTATTCGTGCCAAACAACTTGAATAGCAGGTTTCAAACTTATTTAACAAGCCCTATATCAAAGTTCTCTTTTCGATTGTCGCGGTCAAAGGTCCCATAAGCTTTGATCTATAAATACCAATGTTCTTGACAAAAAGTGGTGAAATATAAAACCATATTCATATTTCATGAATAATGTACTGAACATGTATCTTGTTAATTTATGACAAATTGTATACATAATTAGCATGATAAACAAACTTGTTAACACAATTGTAAACACCACAAAATGATGGGCATATTCTCCACATTGCAATTTATGCATATTTAAAATTTCATTACATTTACCAAAGTAACTCTTGAATTACCACAGTATAAACTCTTAGCCGATTCAATTTTAATTATTGTCATAACTATCACAATTTAATAAAAATGAATTGATGTGCATATTCTCAATATAAACATCTATGCACGTTTTAATTTTTCAACCTTAGTGAAAATATTCCTTGCATTTCAAATCTTCACAGGAATACTATTTGTTACAAATGTATATAATGTCATATAAGTCAACAGTGGTATCTTTACTGCACTTTTAGGTGTATGCCAGATTAAATGGGGTCTGGTTTCCTGTAAAATTCATTTTGGGACATTAAATGTGGCTGTAATATTGTTTTTCTTGCTATAATCTCCTTCCAAAAGACTTTAAATACTCTGAAAATACTTTATGGTATTTAAATGAAGGTGGAATACAGAAAAATAATCATCTCACAGGTTACTGGCACTTGATATTAAGTAAATCATATAACAGGCATGGTCATTGTACTAGTTACTTCCCCTGAAATAGGGTCTTTTTTAAATATTTGATTAAATACAAAGTAACCGCAGTATTCACTTTTTGAAGTTAACGTTTAATGCGAAATACTCCATATTTTAAGAAAATAAAAGGAAACGCGGATCACATAAAAAATCTTAAGGGGGCAGGGGACATATTCGAATGATGGCCCCGGTCAAATTTTTTAATAACTCAGACATGGTGTTTTGAAGGTACTGATAACTTCTGATATTTCTCTGTCATTGTAATTCTTTCTTGTTTGTGTGTAGGAAATGAGATATATTTTTGGGTTTTAACCCGAAACTAAACATTTTGGTAGCTTTGTATGTATTTCTGACTCTCCGAATGGAGGTGAAAAAGTTAAAAATCAAGCTTTGACAGTTGGCGCCAAACAAGTAAGAAATTTCAGATTAATTTTGTGAAAAATCTAAACGTATGACAGACACTTTATTTGTCATTTCTGAAAATGCCATAGCTTGCACTGCGTGTTACTGATATTTTTAAAGGAATCGGGCGGATTCTGGAGTATGTTGCACCAGGTACGTATATTAACAATAATATACGTACCTGGCTGCACCTTCATGAAGATTGCCCATATTGGTATATTTTAGGTGTGATTTTGGCTGGGTTGGGGTAAATATAAATTGCTGTCAGTCATTTTTTGAAGGAGCAATGAATGCAAACTATTATTTTCTTCAATGTATGTCATATATCATTGAATAATGCTGTGCAACTGGTTATCTGCCTGTGAAACAGATTTTGAAATATTTGGAATTGTGTTTCTGGTCACACTGAAATACAAAATTTTTCATTTTTAGGTCCCCTCCCCCCTTAAACAACTATTACTAATGCCTATAGGTTATCTCCCTTTCATTAACCGGCCATTTGCATTTGTGCTTTTTAACGCACAGAAACGTTTAGAACTTTACATACAAAAGCGTACGAATAAAGTCTCAGAAGCACAGGGACCCAGCACAGTGTTGGGATAGTGTAAGAAAGTAATTTAAAAAAAAAAAAATATTGTATATAGACCAACTTAAACCGTGCAACCT